CCGTCCGGCGGAGCCGGCGGAGCCAACGGAGCCGGCGGAGCCGGCGGAGCCGGTGGAACGATCCGGACGGGACCGAAACCATGTGTACCGCCAGCGCTAACGCTGGTGGAACAATAACCATAACTTACGGTCTTGTTTCTCCCTCTTGGATCATCAGGTCCAGTATATACTCAGTCACATGCAATTCATTGTTACTGAGACTCCTATCATTGCCCACTGTGGTCTTCAAGTCATTTATCAGGCTGAACAACAACAAAAGAATGTAGGTGAATCAAATGCATATAGCAGTGATGTCAAAGCAGTTACTGAACATATATGTGGCAAAAATATTAAGCAGGCTTCTTAATTCATTCTTGGAAATGACTATTGCTTAACAAAACCATATTCTTAACTTATCCTTTTCTGAGCAAGAATATTTTAATTAAACTATAAAATTAAATATAACTGGGAATATTGTGATCAAAGCCAACACCTAATTTGACACTCACTTGTTGATGTTGTTATCAGTCATTTCTGGAAGGAGAGCCTCTGCCCTGATGTCCCAGAACTTCTGCTCATCAGTCTCTACTATGGTCACATTGGCCACAGACATCACCTTATTTAAACTAAAAAAGAATATTAGCAAATCAATACAGTTAGAATTTCTTTAGACTGAAAAGTCAGTTTCCAATGTTGAAGACCAATCGCTATTCCCATTTTTTTTGTTTAATTTCTATAAAAAATGGCAAGGTGCAATGATATTTCACCATGCACATGTGTATTTTTCCATATTGCATTACTGTTATAATTCCTCTAAGACTCACAGAAATGTAATTCATCACATTGTTATATCTTATAATCCTCCTACTTAAGGTCAAGTCATACCTGGCTCCACTGGTGGGGTTACCTAGCACCACCTGAAACATCTTGGGGTAAGGGTTGTCTGAAGCTGTCACTGGACTCAGTGATATCACAAGATACTGGCTCTCCTGGGAATAAAATAAAAAGAATAAACATTGTACACACTTTCACTACTACCTGATATTTAAACTCTATGCCACTGGCACATAAGTGATTCTCATTATTGAAACATTCATTGATCAAAAGTCAAATTCTTTAGCAGAGAGTTTAAACAGTGATAACAAATATGAAAATTTATGTAGTATCATTTGAATAATTCAGCTTGGTCAGTGATCTACAGCAAAATCCACATGCACACACTACTGCAGCAATATAAGAACTACTTTGTTTTTAAATTTCAATCAAATCTTTTACATACCACATTTGCGTCAAAGAGGAGTTTTCCTGACACAGCACTGTAGTCTGCCTTGTCCAGTGCAGAGTAGACCCTAACACCAGCTATGGACTGAGGTGTGTCCACTGATTTGGTGGCATAGTCCACTTGGACAGTCTGACCTTTGCCCTTGATCCTCTGGACCTCCAGCCGGACACTCCTTTCATTCTTACCAACTGTCTTCAATCTAGATGAAAAATAGATTTGGAATTTATTTCATTTTGGTCATTATTTCCGATGACCCAGTCTGAGATTCAATTTTCAGACAAGTGTAAAATGTAACTTTGAATTATCTATTTTTTGCTATTAATAGTGGAGGATGTCAACTGATACATATATTAGACACAACATTTTGTTTAATAGAGATAAGAACAAGGACCTGAACACTGAAATTACAGAATGAAACCAATGTGACTGAACAAAATAAAATTTGTTGAGATGAAACATATTCTGTTAATCATTTTATTATTTATCATGTTAACTACATTTAAGTTAACTCTTACAAAGATGTCTGGGCAAACTGCACCAGCCCATCAGGGTAATCACTGGGTAACATGGTAACATTGGCCACTTTGCTGGCATCATTGACTCTGTATCCAGCAGCAGAGTCTTCTGGAGCTGGTAACTGGACAAGGAAGCTTGAAGCATACTCTGGGATCTGTGAAAAGAGAGACAGATATTCCAATACAGCCATTGTAAGCACATACGTACATAGTCAAAGAAACATAGCTATCTGATGTTAAGAATGTCTTTATAACAATTATTCATTTCAAATTCTCAAAATTTCTATTGTAGGCATATGAAAGATAATAATTGTTATGGTGACTGAAATAAGAAAAACGATGTTTATCAATAAGTAAATGCTTCTGTTTGGCTGGCAAGAGTGTGATTTCCTTACATCATCTTTTCTGAGGAGTACATTGAGAGGACATGTGGTTTGCCCCACAGCACACACAGCCTCTCCCTCCACGTCTACCACCTGGTCGTCTGCTCCAACTACTTTCCATTTTATCTGAAAAAATAATTTTAAAAAATCAGAGTTACCATTAGTACATATGTGAATAAAATCAAAACAGGCATTAACTACCAATTTTTTGCTTTTAAATTTTGGTAATAATAATAGGATAAATCATGAAGATTAACAATTCATAATACCTACTTAGAAATACTAGCTTTGCTTTTTCTTACCCTTGCCTCTCCAAATGAACCATTCACTCTGATAAGAGTGAGTCTTGCCACAGCATCTCCATCTTCATCAGCTGTCACATAAAGAGAATCTCCTCTGAATCCAATGACTCCATTCCAGTTATCATTCTTCCTTATAATAACCATGGCATAACCCTAAGATGGAAAAATCACCAGACATGCAAAAACTTTAATCAAGGACAAAAACAGGTATTAAAGTAAATTTGAATTACAAAACAATCTTTTNTCTTACCCTTGCCTCTCCAAATGAACCATTCACTCTGATAAGAGTGAGTCTTGCCACAGCATCTCCATCTTCATCAGCTGTCACATAAAGAGAATCTCCTCTGAATCCAATGACTCCATTCCAGTTGTCATTCTTCCTTATAATAACCATGGCATAACCCTAAGATGGAAAAATCACCAGACATGCAAAAACTTTAATCAAGGACAAAAACAGGTATTAAAGTAAATTTGAATTACAAAACAATCTTTTAATCAGATTTTAAAGGTTTCCATCCAATCATTCTACTAAATAAAAGCTTTAAAAGTGTACTTTACATCCTACAACATATTTATGGAATTAATAAATAGCAGTTGGGAATGACCTTGCCATATATTTTGCTCAAACTTACCCTTTTTGTACCATCCAATTGTCCTTCAGCTATCCTAGCTCCCCCTGTAGGCTCAGTCAAATAAACAAACAAGGACTCATCAGGCTCTGGTCTAGTATCATCTAATATGTCCAGAGTAACTACTTTCTGGACCTCACCATCCAACATGGTCACTTCTGTGTCCAGCACCTGGTAATCACTATTTAGTGCAGCATGGCTGAATGGGTCTGGATTTCTATTGGCTAGTATTTGACCTATGGTGTCATTCCTATCTGATGCCTGCTGTACTATCAATCTGTCCCATGCTTCTCCACCACCAACTGTGCGAACCTTTACTGACACTGTGCCGAATGTACCTCCTAAAATATGAAAAACAAGAGCATGCATGGGTTATTTCTTTGACTAAAAAAGTAATAAAGTTTATAGTTGGAAGTACAACTATTCTCAATAGATATTGGTTCTGACTTGGTCATGCAGCGACCTTTATTGTTGTCTTTGTACATTAGTTGGTAAACTGGTCTCAAAAGGGTTGATCAATTAGCTCATTATCAGCTATAGGTGCATGCTGCCCTGATAACTAGGTAATTTCCATCTTTCAGAAAATACATATATCATAATATAGTTAAGAGTAATGAGCTTAAGAAGGATCTTAATGTCCCTATGATGGATCAGACCTGGTTTATGAAGCATTTCACCATTTTTGGCATAAAAAAGTCTAGAGTGATGTATTTTTGTAAAACTTCTTTTAGTCTCTGATAGAAAACAAGACTCATCCTTACCTGAGCGGAAAACAGTCAACCGAACTGCAGATGGCAGAAGACACACAGGCGTTGTCACAGAGGAATTGCACTCTGGGGCAACAGCAGGACTTGCTGTGACACTGAGTACACCATATGGGTCACTGTTCCTGTTGATGGTTATCTTGGCTGAAGAGGCCATGGTGCTGAGGCGTGGAGATATTCCTTGTCTTGCATTGGTGGGCAGGCTTTCCACCATGGTCAAATTGACAAAAAAATGTTCTTCTGTCTCAGGTAGATTGTCTGGTTTGATCTGAATGTATAATTCAGAAAAAAATACTTTAAGTATCTTTATTCTACTTTTCACTGACTCAGAGGAATTGTCTTTCTTAAGTGTTGAAATGCTGAAATTTTTCCAGAAGAATTAAAAACATATAACTAAAAATGTTGTTCAAATCAAAAATGATAGCACAAATTACCCTCTGATGTTTGGAGACATTATCATGAAACCACCCATAAAATTATACCTTCTCTTATATCCATACTAACCTCTACTAGGACAGTGGCATTTGTCTGCATGCTGGTCATTCTAGTTGACCCATCTCGAAGTTCTGTGAAGTCAGCCCCAGCAGTGGCAGTTGCACCATTGGTAGCATATCTTATCACCACATTGCCATTAGAGCCATACACACGTCTTAGGTGGAGTCTCACCTGTATTACAAACAAATAAAAATGACTGAATAAAATGGTGATCATGAAATATTACAGTTGTGTGTTGGTGACAGGCATGACAGTGGTGCCATTTATCAGCAAGATTCTCATTAAACTATCATACCATACTTTAACTAAAGTCAAGAACCTATTTGGCAAATTGATGACTCTCTTCTAAAAAAATAATTATGTTCGTTTTTTAATCTACGTAGCAAATTAATTGCTTGCACTAATCATTGTAATCATAAATGCCAAAAAATACAAAGGTTATAAAAGCAAACTAATGATGCAAAATACATGCAATTAAACATATTAAGTTAATCTTTAACAGTTGAGTTGAGCAACTGCTATGCATTACTGATCCTGCAATTCAACTTTACATAATTTACCAAACATATTCAATTTAAGAAAATTTACACAGGAAAGATGGCCTGAGTTATCTTGAAAAGACAATTCTGTTTGTAATGTGTATATACGATCGTACCTCGCCAGCATTTTCATCTACACTAATATCTCTAGAGTTAGGAGCGAACTCCATGACCCCAGACGGCTCTATCTCTACCAGTGTGAAGCCATTGTTGAGTCTGGCTCCACCAGCAACGGAGTCAGGCGTCCTGGGAGCGGCTGCTATGTGAGCAGCAAAAAGTTCTGGGAAGCCAAATACTGGGAATACCTACAAATGAAATCAAAAGTCAGTATCTATATGCCACACAAAAACCATCAAAGTCAGTGCTTCAAGTCTTCCACTATTAGCTCGCCTGAGGGTGAACTTGTTTTAACTGCATGTATTATTTAAAACAAGGGTTACCTGCACATTAACAATTTTGAATGGAATTCCATGTTCTAGGATCACTGTGGCAGCATCTGGGGAAATAGTCCCTGAAGCAAAACCCTGGGGTGCCTGACCCTGGGGATACCCTGTTTGCCAATCCACCTCTACACGTCCATATGTCCCCCTGCGGCTCACTACCAGACTGGCTATGCCATTAGCTAGGTAGGTTGAAAAATAAATATGAAGATGTGCTTTGATATATGTACCAATAATTCATAATCTAAATCATCAAACTTTTTAATTATCATGATTCATTAGAAAAAAATTCATCAAACTTTTTAAATATTATGATTCATTTATATCACATGTCATCTCAGACTTGGAAATATGATAATATCAGGTAACCTAAGCCACATAACCAATAAATTAAGCAAACTTTAAGCATGTTAGTCCTATATATTGAAAAAGAAAAACTTTTTTTAGAAATTAAGAGCCTTGACAGTTTGTTATTTTATTAATGGTTTTGGAAAGGATATAATTGGTGATATAAGGAAATTACTTGAAATTTCCAGGAAAATTAAATTGCTAGATGAAGGTGTAACACTCATCAAGTGCCTCTAACAAATTGTGTCTCTCTAATTGCAGTAAAGTGAAATAACTCCAATAAAGTAAAGAGGAGTAATTGCAATAAGAGATAATTATATTTGCCTAATTCCAATGATTAATTAAGAAAATATTATTTCATTTCTGAACCCATAATGTAAATATCATTTCTCAGCAGTTAATCAATATTAAATTATCAAAATAAACAGGTAATATCCTGTATGATATACTTATCATTGGCAATTCCAAGAAACATTTTAGGTTATTAATTTCTCTGAATGGATTATACTCACTATCATTGACATTCACAACTGTCTTGTCAAATCCAATGATGCTATTGGCTGCCTCTGGAGGAACGACTACCTTGACAACAGCCTGTCCTGCGGCAAGGCGTGGGGGTGTAGCCACTGAAAGGAACAGATCATCACAAGTCTTTTTTCAGTGCATTGATTAATTTTTCTTAATGCTTGCTTAGCTTTGGTAACAGAGCAATGGTTTCTTTGGTTTGTGTTATGAATCATTACATTTAGTCACTAACTGAAGACTTCAAAGGCTAAATCACAGACATCAAAGATTTCAAGTTTTGCAATATGTCCTACGCTTATCTTCAATTTCACGGCTTCATTTTCTATTTTTTTTTTTTGCAATGCTTTTGATACCTTTTCATGTTTATCTACTGTGGAAAATGTTTTTTCAACCATTTGATTCATGCATGTCAAATGCTCTAAATATTACATTCATTTCTTTTCAAATTTACATATTTTTCTCATCTCCTAGTTTATAACTGAATAACAAATGCCCTTATTTCCAATTAATTAGAGTAGCACTGATTCTTTTAACCCTTGTTTTTGCAATGCTTTTGATACCCTTTCATGTTTATCTACTGTGCAAGTTGCTTTTTCAACCCTTTGATTCATGCATCATGACAAATGCTCTAAATATTACATTCATTTTTTTTAAGATGCATATTTTTTCATATTCTACTTTACAATTGAATAACAAATGCCCTTATTTCCAATTAATTAGAGTAGCACTGATTCTTTTGACCTTATAGCTAGTTTTTGTATGGAAAACTTCAATATCTCTGATTGAGTCATTCCACAAAAGATATTAAGTTTATTCATGTAATGAGGAAATAAGGTATTTCCATGAACATAATTCTTTAAACAGCAAAAAAAAAAAAAAAAAATGTAACATATCATCTTATCATCTTATATACCATGAAAACTAATAAATCAAAAGGAAAAAAGCATGAAAAATCATGATCTGTTGCATTAATTTCATAATAAAAAATTGGCTTCTCATACTTCCAATATCTTACTTTGTAAACTCACCTGCAACTCCAATATAGTTGACATCTGTGAGAGTCAGTGTAAAGGTTGACCCTTCCTCTAAGAAAACATCATTAGCCGCCCTGAGTGTCTTGATGGCAAATGTCTGCCCTGGTTGGAAAGTGACCGAGTCTGTGCCAGGAACATATGTTATACCAGACTGGGCCTAAGACGTGTAGAGAACAATGCAGTGAGTGGTCAAATTATCTTTTACATCTGAATTGTATTTTTTATGGATATTTAATTAAATTAAAATATCAAATTATTTAAATCAAAAAGACTTAATCAGATTTGAATGCCAGGTTTTCACATATATATGTATATACCTTCATTGTTGAAACAAAAATACCGGTAGTTAGTACCAGTAGAAAAAATAATAAAAGAGCAAATAAAACTAATCAAGTGCAAATAAATAGTATAAAAAATAATAAAATTGTGAAAGGTCACACCTGTCTTTTTGTTCTGTTAGACTGAAGCTCAGGCTGCAATCAATGATAAAAGAAAATAGATGAAAACTCTAGTGCATAAGTACAGAATGTGAATGAAAATAAAAACTCAGAAAAGCAATAATCAAGATAAGTGAAATGCAAGAACAACCAAGCAGCAAAAGCCGTCAAATGCACAGACCTATCCTGGCATTTAGACTAACTTCATCTATCAAAGTAAAAAACCTGACCTTGGGGTCCAACGTAAAAATTTACACACAAGTTTCAGATGGCTACCAATTAACAAAGTACTGCATCAAAAATTAAATGGAACATTTAACTTTGGTGAAAATCAGTAACTGTGCCAAGTCAACAAATGAAAATAAAAAATCAACAGGAAGAATAGAACAGTTAAAGGCATCAATCAAAGATATGTCATTTTCTTATGTGAGGCATCAACCAAAAATGCAATTGTCACACACAAAGCATGCAGATCTATCTGAAAAATGACCAATTAACACCTTCCCCTCTCTAAAAGAAGAATTAAAAGAAATGATACCTGATCATAAACAATGCCGTAGCTAATGCGCACAGTGCCCACACTGCCAGCAAACCTGGTGATGTTGATTCTAACATGGCGGCTGTAGTCTACTGTGTCCACTATGACAGTCTGATACTTGGACTCCACACCAAACACACCATGAGGGTCATCATTGTATCTGTTGGAAGTGATATTAAATGTTTAAATCATATTATTATTATTATTATTATTATTATTATTATTATTATTATTATTACAATGCAATTTACTGAAAACAAATATTAAATAGGCTGATGATTTTAAAATATGACAAAAATTTACTTCATCAATGAAATTCATAATATGCTACCCAAATTTTAAATTGTGTTTATTTTGACACATTAATAATTATCATTCTTCTGATACCATAGATCCATATGTAGCACTCATACGTTTTCTTTGTTAATTACTTACTGTATGGTAAAAGTTGAAGTGTTAAACTGGGTGTCAACCTCAGCTCCTCCTTCTACCCTTAGCAATTGTAATGTGAAGGTTTCATCAAGTTCAGGTTCATCGTCAGGCAGAATTCTCAGCAAAATCTCAGAATCCCTTTTTTCAGCAGCAATGGTAGTGTTTCCCTTCATTGGTTCAATGTCAGGCACTGATCCCTGGGGCCCTACAACCTGCCACTGGACCTGTATAGTAAGGGGGGAGAATACATTGTATATCTGTTACTAAATTGTGATCCTTTTTAAAAACAGGTCAAATTACGTATAATCACTATGATTCACTTGAAGTGCTTATACATAATCTAGAAAGTTGCTGTCTGTTATATTGCCTACTGTCCATCCTGTTCACAGTCCTACAAATAAAACATTTATCTATTTGTTCCACAAAAATACTTGAATACCTTTTTCTAATATTTTCCAGCAGCTTCTTATCATCAATTTATAAAGCAGCATGCTGATCAGAGCTTTCGGTTTCTTACCACAATATTTCCAATAGTTCCTTCCCTTCTATAGAGAGGAAAGCTGAGGAGCCTCCCTCCTTCCACAGCTGAGGGCTCTACAGCAGTGCGGGGAGACTGGGCTACACCAGAGAAATGTACTATACCATTGGGGTCACCATGCTTCAATATCTGTACAATAAAACAACAGCATCATTTGAACTGGTTGAGACTTGATTTGAGTTTCACAACGCCAATCCATTAAATGTTTTAGAGAAACAAATACTGCAGGTTATATTAAAGGTTTTCACATCCATATCTTCTTTTATTCATTGGTTGAACATATTCGTATCAATGTATATTAATTCAAACCACCATAATTCTTTTTTTTTTTTTTCTCAAGCATATCAGTTGAGCATTAAAATTAACCCAGAATATGTGATGAAAAGTGAGCATACAAAAATGAATGCTTAAGAAACTTACAGTAAGGGTAACATTGCCTGCCAGAGGGTCCACCTCTCCGTTGGTTTCCCCAGGAGGCGAGGCCTGAATGTCCAATATCTCTATCACAAATATCTTCTGGATCTCCCATACAGTGTGAGGTTTGATGGTCAGTGTGAAGGTCTTGGCTCCACCTTCATTGTTCCCCCAGCTCAAGGTACCACTGGTCAACTCCCTGTTGTTCAACTGGTAGGCCACATCATTGGTCTCTTCAAGGACTAACTTGAAGTTGTTTGGCCCCAAGATTCTCCAGCGTAGCTAAAATGAAGATGGAAAAATGGGGAACATATATATGTTTCTTTTTGTTTTAGAAAAAAAATCTAGGAAAGGCATTTATTTTAGTCATATAATACCAGAATGACAGTGTAAGTTCTTAAATACCTCACATAACTCAATGGTGCACAGAAGCATACCCAATATTAAACAGTAGTGCCCCATTTCACTCAATCCAATTTACTCAATAATTTAATATCAACAAAAAAGTTCATACTGGAAAGGTTCACTTACTGTTTGGAAGCCAACTTGGCCCTCAGTTCTGGCAATAGTAAAAGTGAGCTGCCTGGGTTGTGCAGGGTTTGGTATGATAATCTCAGTCTGGCCGAGGAAACTGAACTTGCCATTGGGATAGTCTGACTTGGCTATGGTCACCATGGAGGTTGTCTGAGCACCAAGTCTGGCACCTCCTAAATTGGGCAATGAAAAGTGAAAAGAAAAACTGATTACAAAGAATGAGAGATTGGCAGTATGTATGTTAATCTCTATATATTACTTTGTTGGTTGGTTAATTTGTATATATATATTGCTTAATTTGTTGGTGAAGTATGACTTGGCAATGATCACTGCCTTGCCTTGTTTTCACATTGCCAGTTTATTTTATACTGGCTATTATCACAGAAATTAAGAATAATTCAACAGCTTAAAATAAGATTGGTTTCCTACATCAGTGCTGGCCTTATGATTACTGTATACTGCCCAACATTCACTTTTAATTTATCACACTACTTTCACCGTAAATTGTATTGTATTACTTGACTTAATTGAATTAACTGAGCATTATGATTTACAGCATGTCCCACAGCACTGAGCTAAGTAAATAATGGTTTCTTTACAAAAACAGCTGATATCCTGAGTATTCCTAGGTGTGTGTAGAATAGCAATATATTATATCATATTACACTGCATTAGTTTTCCATTCTTCACAGCATAAGTAGGAAATGTCATATATAGTTCCATTACTTGATATTAAATTATGTCTTATTAACTCAAATGACACAATCTATGCACTGTTATTTGTATGAACTGGGCTCCTGATTAACTGTATGGGCAGAATAACAATTCTATTATTCCATTACATTATCCCTTCCAGTCAAACTGAAAATGACAGTGTTGGTAAGTAAGTCAGACATTGCTTTAACGGGGCAGGTCTAGTCGGCTTCGATCTTCACCAAGTCAATTAAAAAAAATTCAATAATACAAATGTCTCTGAAGTTTCAGACCATCTTCTAAATCAACTTAAAGATCACCTCATTCCACCCTTGTGACCACATAAAATTATAAGACCTACTCATGGAAAATATTTCAAAACATAAGTAATTCTCAAAATGACTTAACAGCAATGTGTCAAGTTCAAACTGAATTAAAAAAAAAATCATGCTTGTTAAACAGTTATGAAAAAAATCCTGCCCTTGGGCATCTTTTAATCTAGTGCTCATCAAAATGAAGAGAAAATAATTCATGTATGCAAAAGAGATCTAGACAGTAAACCTTTGTAATGTACAAACAACATATAACTGCGAAGTGACAAACTGGTAATCAATGAACCATGCCAAAACTCATACAAACAACAGATTTAAATGCTCAATGCTTTAAATAAATAAATAAATAACATTTCAAAAAGAACTGCCATAACAATATATACTTACCAGAGACCCCAGTCAGTCTCAGGTCCAAAGTTTCAGCCATCTCCCTGTCGCTGTCATCTCTCACAGTAATATTTATGGTATTATACATCATTCCATCCCCAAACACAATCTCCCCATCCTGGAGAAGATAGTCCAGTCCCGCTGTGGCTGTTTTACCACTTGATGAAAATGTGGCAGACACACGTCCATAGGAACCCAATTTGCGTATCACAGGTACCCTGGCTATGCCTCCTTCTTCTCTGGCTAGAATGTTTATAATTCATGTTTCTTTTAATCTTGATGTTTTTAGAAAACATGTATAGGTAATATTGATGGCATTAGGGAAAATCATAGATATTTTTCTATAATTAGTAAGTCAATCTATTCAGGTAAATAACCCAATGCGTTTATTGCTACTTTTAATTCCTGTGGATAATCAGAAGTGAAAATTAACAGAATGCCAAATAAATATCCTGATAAAATATAAAGAAAGAAATTATTGGTATATCACACACACACACACACACACACACACACACACACACACACACACACACACACACACACACACACAATCAAGCACAAGAGCAAAGTAAGGCTACAATTTATGGTTAAACTCAGCCACAGCTCAGTGACAGATGGATGAGGGAACAGTGCGATCAATACTGATGACCTAACGGATTAAATCATATCTATCAAAGAGACCATAGTTCCTCCTCACCTATAAAGCTGATGGATTCTGGTGCAAACTCAATAACCCCCTCAGCATTGTCATTCTTGTCTATGACAATAATCTTGGTGGACAGGGGCCCTAATCCTGGAGGCATGTCCAGTTGAAGTCCATTGGGCAGTAATGTGTAGTTGTTGATGCTGGAATGGAAAGCGAAATGAGTAATAATTTTGTTGTAAAGTCACTGTTACAAACTGTTTTAAAAGGCAAGACTCTGTAAGGAGTGATATTGAATTTTATTATTTACCAGCATTGCAATTATGGAAAGTTCTTAATGAACTACTCTTAGGGAAAGCTTGCTGTATAATCTCCTAATAGACACTAAACAGATTCCCCGTGGGGATTACACAGTAAACTTTCAAGTAGGTTGGTCATATTTGATCCACAGATCTGTTAGACTGCTGATCATCTTTAGTCGTGCATGCCGCCTTACGCTAAAAGCTGCATCAAAAAAAATAGGATTTTGACACAATGAATATCAATATATTTTCATGCACTGAAATTGAAATTAAATTATTTTAATACAGTAATTTAAACTGGGCATAAAGTAAGAATTTTTCAAAACTAACAACTTCCCTTCAAAGTACTTTAAAATTGTCTTCCTTAGAATGTTTTATTCTATCAACAAATTAACAATTTATAAGAAGACTATTTAACAGAATGTGCTGCACAAAAATTTGAAGTTTTCTAGATAATGTATGATGTCATTGAAAGAATACCCTCGTGCTCTTTATGTGCCATAATCTATTACCTCACTTTAATCTGCTATCATTTTATCTAGCATTTACTGCTTCCCTCAGAGTGTTCAAATTGTCTGAAAAAGTAATCTAAAATCTTTCGAAGATGGATTGGTTGACTTTTTTTAGGTAATGATCTAGGCACTTATTAGGAACGTGTATTAGGGACAATTCCTTCCATTAACACATGTTATTTTTAAAATAATAGGATAATTGGCAATGGAAATGGAAAGTTTCAAACCTTCACAACACATTTCCAGATCAGACATCAAAACTGTTGGTAATGACAGACAATTTAAAGAGAAGAATCAGCAAACAGGTAGTTATCTCAATGCATAAAAGAAAGTCCATGTAAAAATAAGGATTTCATCAAATAAAGGACTAACTCCAGCTGGAATTAGGATAAACTGTGACCCTTTATTATTCCCAGATTATATAAGGAACACAATCTTGCTAGAGATTTCTGTATTTAATTTGGTTATCATGGTTGTCTGATGATGTCAAAAATTGGTCGATTTCTTGTCAATGTTAATTCTGTTCATAAAACCATTCTATCAACAAAAAATCAGCTTAAAAAAGAAACTTTCAAATATAGTAGCTCTGCTATAGCATTAGTAATGCACAAAAAGCCAAACTATGTTCACTTTCACACATCAGTGCTGTTTGTTTTTCAACCTACAAACTAAAAGATCAAATGATAATAATAAGCAGCATCATATAAGATTGAAAGTCATGAACATATCATGCCCTTGATCTTTACAAAAGTGATCGCCCGTCATCCAAACACAGTCAGCTTTTTTATCTTCTGGTGTTCATTAGTCTTGGTGTTTAATCATAGCAGACATGATCAATTATCAAACACATTTTCATTGCTCTGGATTAGCAGTTAGGTCATCTGCTATGTTTGTTCTGCATTATTATATTTAGTTTCAGTGAAATAATGGAAACACCTGAATTTTAGATACTCTGCTACTCAGGGTATATTTGTGAGTTAAAACAGTACACACCACAGGGATTTTGGAAAATAAATTGCTTAATCTTGAATATGACATGGTGTGACAAACTTAATCACATGCAACACCAAACTCTCACCTTGGTGTTTGAAGTTCCACTTTTGTGATATTCACATAAAACTGCTCTGGTCCTTCTGGCACATCATCATCTCTGATTCTTATGATGACCGTCTGCCTTGTCTGACCCTCAGCAAAGGTCAGTGATCCAGACTGGTCCACATAGTCTTGGCCTGCAATGGCAGTACCAGGAGAGGTGGCAAAGGTGACCCTCACTTGGCCTGTGCTTCCTCCATTTCTGACGATGGAGACTGATACCTGTAGCAGATTGCGTACAAAAATATGCTTTAAAATAGAGTTTTGGGTTTCATCTAAACGCGTATTTGATTGTTCATTCAAACCATTCAATATAAAAAAATTGAGCATGAGGGGATATCGACATTTATAACTACCAGAGGAAATTTATTTTCTCATGGGTACCACCAGAGGGAATTTCTCTTCACATGGGTATCAACCATGTAAGATAAAATAATGAATCAAATCCACTTACAGATTTTGTAATACAATCTGTCAAAATCAGACTAAACCTGGCATATGTTTCAGCATGAAATAAAGAGATATTAGGGCTCATCTTTATCTTCAATGATCAAAAATGGCTTCCAATGATTTTATTGTAAAGCCACTTGAACAGGGCAATTATCATTTACCTGTTTGTCAAATTCAATCTCAGTTATTTGAGCTGGTGGACTGAATTCAAATAACCCATGAGGATAGTCACTGGCTACCATAACAACTGTAGCCTCATTTGCCCCCGGCAGAGTGGAGATGGTAGCACCTCCTGTAGCTGAGGTGATTTTCAAGGTGAAGGTCATTCTGGCCTCAGGAATGTCATCATCTTCAGCCTAGAAAAATTACATTGAATAATTCTTTTTCTTTAATGCTTTAGGAGGCCATGTCCTTAACCAAAGGTTAAAAGGACTTTGATGCCTGTATCAGTTAGTAATTAAAACTTCACAGTGGGTTCAAGGCAAGCTGTGATTAATAATTTATATAGAAAAAATGTGGCATATCAAAGCTCTCATGTTTAACTTTTTTCCAGAAAATAAAACTCATTTACTCCTTTTCCAGAAATACAAGTGCAGATGACTTATTCATGACCACGGCAAACTAACATACGTGAATTGAAACAGCCTACATAAGTTTAGAATAAAAAAACACAGACATATCTGGCAATTTGAGAGATGCACAAGTCTTAAAATGACTTTTGCATTGCATGTTCCATTTCCAAAGTTATACTACATATCGAAATTCTTAGGTCCAACCATCCAAGTCCAATAAAGACTGCTTGGATAATGGCACTGTTAGTTTTATGTGACAGGAAAATCCTACTTTTTATTTCCTTTCAGGAGAAGTATACTTTGCTCTGCATGTATTTGCATTAAATTTTGCTTAGAAATTAAAAAACAATCAATAGGATCTACAGTAGGACTACAGAACTGCTTCTCCTGAGCTTGTAACCTCACTAGGTGAAGGGGGGGGGGGGGGGAGAAGAAAATCTTGAGATGAGTTGAGACACATTTTTCAATTATGGCACCTTCAAAATGTAGAATCAAAGCTTTTTTTTTTCATATCTCAGCTTTAATTGATTTGGATGAAACTCATAACATTTTTATTTTCAAATATACAATTTTTAACAAAAAGATATCATGTATAACAATGTAGAAAGGCCAAAGAGGCCCAGATCATAACAGAGTATAGTCAAATGGTTGTTTGCAGGTGTCTGCAAACTTAAATTTACATCTGGTAATAATATCCATGTATATTTTCTGTCATTTTTCACCAATTATATGTAAATGAATATGAGTAATAATTCTACAACCTTTTTACTTTATAACTGATAACCAATGGACCCTCCCTCTACTCAGACTTTACTGTCCTTAGTTCAAATTGAATACCTGGTGAGGATACAATATTCTTGCAAAAAAATTTACTAATGGCTTTACCTGGGCACTGCTTAATAGAAATAAGTTTACAATGAGTCCCATGTGTCAGATTGAAATATGCTTCAATTAGTGGAGTAGGGTGTACTCTAAATTTGTACTAACATCAGCAATAAATTTGTGCACTTAAAACTTATTAGATGTCTAATCAGTTTACCAAATTCATTCTGGTGGTTCAGTTCTTCTCTTGGTATATCTTTGCAAAATAAATATTTTTCTTTTTGTGGCCAGAACAATAGGAAAATTACTTTTAAATATTTTTTCAAACGTTACTAATTCCATATGCAAAGGAATATGTAACATAACAGTAAGAACAGTAGTTTAGCCTTATAAAGTTGTGACAAGTTGTTAAACAAATATATTATAATAACCTGTAAATTAATTTCTGTAAACTGTTGTCCATCAGCAAAAGTTGCTTCCCCTGTGGCCTGTGTGAATGCATTGACAGCCTGCGTGCTGGGGGTGATCTGCCAGCCAACCTTGACCTCTCCAAAATTACCAATACCTCGGCCGAGTCTGATCACTGCACGACCTGAGAATGAGCTGCTAGGTTCACCTATTGAAAAAAAAAATAGGTGAAATTAAAGACATCTTTACGTTATATAAAATAATTGATCATACTTTCATAACAACTGTAAAAATAAAGATAAGATATATATTTTTGAACACAAATTTCAACTTTTGTCTCAAAACCCAGAATAAAATATTTTATAAAAAGAATACACTGTTTCTTTTTCAACTGCCATTCATCCAGCATATCACTGAAACAAGCAGTTTCTTTTCTGACTCTGATCATCTGTTTTCTTTAAGTTTCACATCCCAGTGAGTTCATAGAAAGCTAATTGCTTAAAATCATTTTCCATTTTCAATTTACAGACAAATGTTCTCATATCTACCTATAAAGATATGTTTGTAGTCATCCAATATTGAAATAATCCCTGTAGCACCAGCATCAGGAAGGATGACAATTGTAGCTTCACCACTGATGGGAGAGATTTCTCCAAGGTCTGTAGAGATCAGTGTCAGTCTGAACTGTTCCTCGCCTTCCAATATGGTGTCCCGACGGGTACGCAGAGTGATACTCTTACTTGTCTCACTCTGAAAAAAAAAAAAAAAAACAGTAATGATTTGATATATTAACAATTCAAATTCAATTATAAATAACAAAAACATATTATGATGACAATTTGAAAAAGTCAATTGGCAACACATATACCCAATATTTCACTTAATGATTACAGAATATGTGCACAGAGCATAACCTCTAATATCAAATAGTTTTAATATCAATATACTATCTTTCATGTTCTCTTTTCCTTTTAGCATTAATTTTCAGAGTGCTGTGGCAGCCTGTAACCCATGGGAGTGACATAAAATAATGGCTTTTATTTCTTCCCTATTCCCATGTCAGACTAATGGTACTCACAGGACCAAAAGTAACAGTTCCAGCCCACGGCGGCTGGAAATCATTCTGTGCCGCAGCCTCCAGTCTCCATCCCACTGTCACTGTGCCCTCTGATCCCTGAGTACGAACAATGTCAAAGGTCACCTGCCCATTGGCATCAGTTTCTGTCTTGGATTCTTGAACAGTTTTCTGAAAGACAATGTGATGACTAAAATTTTATTGTTTACAAGACTTTCCATGTTATATTCAATAAAGAATTTCAGCTTTGTCAGTGTACCAAATATAAGTAAACTTGCATTTCATTGTTAAAAAATGTCCTTCATAATACCCCTGCTATTAATGGCCAATACAGACTGATGATAATCTATAGCTAAAAACCCTTACACCAATGCATACACAAATAAAATACCATAGCACTCATTGTAAGTTACATCATGTGAGCATTTTCATTTAAGTTTACAATGTGCATTCACAATTCAATATTTTATTGCCAAGGATAACAAAGTAAATGCTCCAATCACATTTACTTTATAAACCATAAATGGCAATCGGAAAAGACAGTTTTCTCTTGAGAAAGCTTATTTTGTACAATGGTCTAGTCAAACCTCTATACTTGAGTCAAGGGAAGAGACTAAATTACTGTACAATATCACATCAAATATCAGAGCATTCCTCAGAGAATCGTAAAACCAAATTCAAAAGGACAGAAAAATAAAAATAAATCCAAAATAAATCTACAGCATGAAAAATATCAGTTTTTCAGATGATAGACCACAGAGATAATGCCCCAGATTTGATTCATTTCTCAAAAGTGAGTGCCATTAACTCACCCCCATGTGTGTGAACTTTGCACGTAGAGCAGAGAAATGTCTACCAAACAGATGCGATTATGACGAACTATCATGTTGTATCAAATATGGTAAGGGTTAATACACTGACGGGACCAATCAATATTGGCTAAGCGATCAAATAATGTCTGGTTTTTCTCCTTTCAGGATATGCAGTCTAGTAAATGTGCTAAAATCACTGGTATATTGCAGAACAGGATTGCTACATTTTACAAGAACATTTCACATTATAGATTTTGCCAAATCTTACATGAGGAAAACTGCTTTATTCTGATAGCTTTTCATTTTTCTGCAGAGGTACACAGTGGAGGTACCTGTTTAAAAAAAGCATATCCAATTCAATGAAGACCAAATTTCATTGTACTTGCCTGCCTGATAAGCATTTGAATTTTATTTTTTAAGTCCTACCTGAGTAAACTTACCTGAGTGGTGGCAAACCCAAAGAGTCCATATGGTGAATCATTTTTCATAATGGCCACAGTGACACTGGTCTCTGCCCCCAGGACTGCCCCTCCAGTAACACCCAGCAACTGCACCTCAAATGTCTGGAAAAAATTTAATTCTGTTAATCATCCATCTTTTGTTTCTCTTCTATGCTGAAGAGGTATACTGTATTGTCTAACAGAATCTTGCTAGTCTAAAACAAAGTACAATTTAGATTTTTCAAATTTAAAACACTGGTTGTGTAATAAAATTTTAATTTTCAAAACATAATTTCAACACAGTTATTCAATGTACTATCATATGCCTTATGATTCTGTTTAAAACTTTCAAATAATTGATAAACAAATTCTGAATCAGTATTAATGAGCAATGTGTGTGCACCAAGTCATGCATTATACATAACATCCTGGCAGATTAAAAATTTATTCTACATATTCAAAAATTAGTAGTTGTTGAGTATATTGGTTTTTCAGTAAGTGTACAGCATCAAGTGATGTATGCCACAGTTCATCAAGAGACATAGACCACAGCTGACACAAGTGTATATTATATAAATTTTCACACAGTGTTATGTGTAGCTGAAAAGTAAGTTTATTAATAATTAATTATTTTTCCTTCATTATAGTAAATGACAGAGAATAAACAATGAGAAAATATCAAAATGAATGCGTTTAAATCTATCTTGATCTGTTTATAACAAAGTGGCAGTTATATGGGGTGATAAAATTTTGCATGAACTGTCCTTTTAGGATGTAATGAACAAGATTCACAGGAAGTGAGAGTGTCCATATTTTGATTGTAGTCGCCTGCTTATGGTTTGGGACACAAAAATAATGCTTTTAGAGATTTATGGCAATGGTCATTAATTGGTAATGCCGTCTCCTCGTGGTTCATAAAGGCTTCCTTAATTAAGCCAATGACTTTCACACATGACTTTATGCACATTAAACACGCCATCCAAGTGTATATTTTTATATTTCAACAAGTGTCACCCAGGACAACATTTCCCTAATTAAAGATGTGTCACCTAAATTGTTATTGTTATTTTGGACGAGTGTCAGCTTTCGAAGTGATAGCTTCCAATAAATAAGGGTCAGCCTCTACAGCTGATAGCTTTCACATTATGAGATTGTTAAAAATTCATAATATCACATTTAAGCCTATGTCAGCTGCTCAGTAATAACCAACAACTAAGACATTTCCTATGATTATTGGGTGTCACCAATAATTGCTTTAAAATTGCACAAATATCGCCTTGAACAAGTAGGAGGTTATTATGTTAGCTTTGAGAAGGTCATTACTCTTTGGCTTATATGCTGTGGTATCATTTGAGGCAACTTAAGAAATAAGGATTTCACAAAAACTCACTAGGGGGGAATTTTTTGGTTCCACCTTGACCAAACTCAGGTGTTATGTGCATTAATTACCAGTGGTTAGGAATTTAAATCTTACATGACAGAAATTGTCCTTAAAAGTCCTGGACTTCGGCATGGATTGATACCAAGACTTAATTGTAATCCAAAAGTTAAGATATGAGAAAATGTCTTTTTTACCAGATTTATATAGAATCAAGTTTAGTATTGAGAAACTGCAGGTGCGAATGTCAGAAAGTAAACATTCTGTAACAATGTAGCTATAAAACATGTAGCTTAAATGACTTTTCAAACTTTAAGGAGAGAGAAAAATAATCATTTCAGAAAAGCCTGAAGCTAGTATTGAAAACATGCAGGTGCTGGATGCATCAGAAAAAGATCAGAAGTACCAGTTAATGAAAGATTCACGGGAAATTAATGAAAGGTTCCGGGCAGTTAATGAAAAGTTCACAGAAAATGGCAAAATCGATTGGTTTTTGACTGTCTTTAAAGAAGATGGAAGACCAGATGTGAAGAACATTGTGTGTTTAAAGATATTACACCTGCAACGGCAGTTGGTTCTTTTATCTGGCTGGTCTACAATGAACATTATTACTTTAACCAGTAATAGAGCAATCTATATTGTCTGGTCCATAGGGTAAATCATGAATCCATCAACACATTAAATTAGATCATCAGTAAACTATACTCTAGTGGATTGAGATAAAACCTAGACACTTATATGGACAAATTAATGTTTTGATCACCACCCCCTCTTCAATTAATAGACCAGTTTAGGCGTAACAATATTCTAAATTACAAATTCTGATGTGCCTATAACATTCATTTTTATTACAAGGGAAAAAGGCAATATTCCATTTTTTATAGTTCTTGATATAGGGCACCATTAACTTCAAATTTCACATGCAGTCAATACTTTGATGAGGTTTCAGTATGACAAAGGTTTGCTATGACCAAAGTCCACTATGAAGAGGTTCTCTCCAATGCCAAAACTCCATAATGATGAAAGGGCTTTGAAGAAGATACACTTTATTTTTAATGTAAAATTAAAATAACGTATTAGTTAATTATGAATTAACATAAACATACTTGTTAAATTCATGTACACTTTATTAAATGTAAAATTAAAATGATGATAAAATCATATTATTTTGTATTATGTAAAAGACAGTTTATATTTGGTGTGCACTTTTCGGTAATGGATGAATGAATGTGAAAACATTTTTTTTTTAAATATTCATGAGGTGGTCTCATATTTGCATTTTGGCAATCTGCACAGATTTTGGACATGGGTAATTCCTTATGATGACAACTAAGAATTAAATATTATAATGCAATATAATATGTAACTAGCCTTCTTAAAAACTGTCTTAATCATATTCGAAGCCCAATGTGAATATCAACTGAACATTGTTTTGCAAAGAATGCTGCGACTTTTATGACATAAGTACCCACTGGCACTGAACACATTTCTTTTGACATGAAGGTCATGCTGGTCCTGGTTAACTAATGCATGAGCCCAGCTATCGAATAAATACACTTTTTCAGAATACCAAAACTTCATAATAGTCAACCCTTGGAAATAATTAATCTTGTGCCTTCAGAATAGCATTCCTTTGTCAAAGCAAGCCCCAGATTTTAGAAGTGAAAAAAAAAACTTTGCATTTTTTGCAATTTTCAAAATAGCAGACCTTCATCAAAGTGAACCTTCATTACATAGACATGACCCCAATACTTTGTCAAAACACTTTCTAGATCAACTTCAGAACTTCATTTGTCAGGCCAATATTCTTTGACATTTCTCATAATAATGTGTCTGTATATGTGATCACAGCTTATTTTTTTCACATTCATTATGATTCTTCTAAGTAAACTGCATCAAGTTTGCATTTGCACACAAATAAAATGTCATATCCCATGAGGATTCTGCACTTACTGATCTGACAGCAGTAAAGATTTAATTTTCCATGTTACTACTAAAGAAATTCATTTATTTCTTTCGACCAGGTTAAAACATTACACTGGCTGGCAGTTGATATACACTGTCACTGCTTGATAAGGTTAACATAAGATATACACTATTAGTAAATTATTTAAAATAAGAAAGCAATAAGAATTATAATAAGCATTAATACAGAACAAATACTAGAAAATAACATTTTGTAAGTTAAATTATGGCATACAATATAGATACCTATAATACTGAAAATATATAATAAGATTTCTTGCATCTTGCCTTATCTTCTCCATCAGATCAACAAGATGATCATGCTCTCTAGTTCAACACTACAGATTACACCACATTTTGTGTGAAAGAGAAAATAATTACAATGAAAATCCATCGGGAAACCAATAAAACATGTTTGATCTAGAGGCATTTAGGTAAATAGATGGGAGCAGTGAAGTAGAATTTGAAAAAAATCCTCATTTGTCTAGAATGTAATTCAAGCTACTTCATGTATGAATAGTCATTCCTTTACAGGGAAATATCAGTTCAAACTCAATCTGCATCAGGGCAGAAAATCCACCATTACAAGATGGACACAAGCCCTGAACTAATCTTTCAGCCTGTTTGTATGAGTAACATACCTAGGGGAGAATAATTACATATCCCCAGGTAATGGAAAACACCAACTAATGCATTCCATTAAATTGCTTGCCTAAGTCTACATCAGGTTGTTCTCCCCCCTCCCATTCCAGTTCTTTTTTTTTTTTTTTTTACACATTGAGCAATCTAAATGGTGTACCCTTTGAAGCGCTAACTTGAACTTTTGGGATATATCTTTATAGTGGGAAAATAATGAGTGCAAGAACATAAGGTCTTTTAAGTAAAATGTTGTGGCCTTATGATGTATACATGTGCTGAAAGTACATATTTAGTTTTTTTTGGGTGTGTTTGAGTGAGAATCCTAGTGTGAAGATATCTCTTTTCCTAATATATGTTTAACCATTTTAAGGATGGGATAACATTAAGACATAAATTAGGATAAGCTAACTTCTACCTCTTAGATTCTTTCAAAAAGCATGTAATCCAGGTACGTGTTCATCTCACAAAGGGCTCAAGAGTTTTCAATCCCTACATATTTTAAATAAGTTTTTGTAACAGTGCAAGAAACAAAATGTGGGATATTGTAAAGCAAATGACCATTTATTTGATACCATCAATAATTTATTACCTAGATAATACACCTTAATACCATTCATAGGTGTCATATTTTATGGAGTCTTAGCGAGAAATGTTTATATCACTAAGTAGTGGCAATAGCAGGTGCAGAACTAATTATCTTTTCTCAATCAACAAAACTGCCATAAAAAAGTTGCCTTAAAATCATACTGCACAAAACGTATGATGAAAATTAGTCACAGAAAAAACAAGGTGCTCACCCCTCTGGAATTACAAGTAAAACAAAATGCCTATTAAAGAGTTTACTATAACTTAAATTAACTTGGCATTAGTTTATTTTATTTTATTATTATTTTTTTCTTTACAATGGAAAAAAATTTACTGCATCATCTCCAATATTTGTGAAAATGATAACAATTCAACAAAATACAAACCATTATCTCCACACTTTGTTTTTATTACAGGAAAGAAAAAAGAAAATACTTGACACCCGTGGCATTTTCCAGTAGCATACTTCTACAGGCAAGAAAGCAGTATAGCATACAGCTCATGGAATGATTTGATTAGTCCATAACCTACTCATCAATGGTTTCACAGCACTCCGCACACAAGGAAGGAGTGGTATTGTTTTCAGAGTGCTTTAATATCAATCTAATGTGCAGATCAATTGCACACATTGCCCTGAATCCCGGCACATGGCACAAACTGCGTAGCAAGCAAGCAAGCAAGCAAGCAGACAACTTGTCAGAGATGAAGCAGTTCCGATTACACTGAAAAGGATACAGGAAGACGCAACAACAGGATATCCAATCTAAATAACATGGGAGTCTGCAATAAGGACAGTGTATAACTCATATACTTCTAAAATATTAATACCCTCAACAGATGAGAAGAGACTGAAAAAAGAGAATTTACAGAGGAAAAACCACTCCAAGTGACAGAAACTAAGGCAAGGTATTTTTCTGTTTTTCCTGATTATGTAAAACTATAAGAGCATCACGCTATGTAATCTGAACACTTAGGAAAGATGGATGAAGGAAACAAAAGAGGGGATGAAAAGGCCATCTTACTGACATTTAAGGACTTGCTCACCTATACTTGCAAGAATAACCACAACCAGTCGTGAAATGGGGAGCGTTCTTAAAATCACCTACATAGCTTAAAAAAGATTTCCCTTGTCAGATTATATAATTGAGGTAACTGAGGAGTGGCGTGACAGTCTTCAGAGACAGGTAAACAGGGAAAGGCTATTATAGCAAAGAGTGCCTGATTCAGTTTGGAAAAAATTGTTTTTTCCTTCTAAATCAAACAGTAAAGCAGTAAAAGAGACAGTAAAAAGAGCATATCATGTGTTCAGTATATAAAAAAAAAGAATCTTAAAATCTGCAGTTCTTGGTGACATAAGAAACTGTGGTTTGCTCATTTTGGATTATAAGTTTTTAGAATAGCATTATAATAACAAAGAACAGCACAGAGAGAGAAAGCCCTTGGGAAATTACAGAAACTGAGAAGAACAACTATCCTGAATGACAAATGCATGAGGGGAGAGTTTTTCACATCACAAACAAGGTGTGTCAATTTCAACTTAACAGCCTTTGAACAGAAATACTTATGCAGTTTAATAAGTGAGGGTTCTAAAGAACAGTACTACAGAGAAACTGGCTGACTAATTTATTTTGGATTATGGAAAGAGTTCTTAGTGCCAAACATTAAACAAGCAGCTTGAGAAGAAAAATCCCTTGTCAGATTAAAGAAATTGAGGTGAGGTGACATAAAAACAAGGCAATCAATTTTGTAAGTTTGCATGCATTTTGATTTGCCACTTGAGGCTACAGACTAAGCATGATCAACAGTTTATAAATCGACTGTCAGTTAGACTAGAGGACACTTTCTGATCTATCGTGATAACTCCGCAAGCATGATTTACTTTAATCAATCCACTATCTCACCAAGAGACAATAACAGCCTTGGTGGGGGTTATAAAGGACAAAATGCAAGCAGTGAAGAACAATACTTGGAAACACTGTTCACAAACTTTGTCACAGCAGGCACTGTTCTGGCTAGCATTGGAATTGTGGAAAATTTCATATCGCTTTTAGCATTATTAAACATGCCCCCTCCAAGGAGAGCATTTGGAATGTTGCTCATCAACCTAGCCGTGTGTGATCTTACAACCATGATTTTAGCCGCCATTCCAGGATTACGTTATCAATTTGACAAAGACGTATTAACCTACCCATGTCGAACTGTGGAAATAATGGAAATATCCTACGTATTTCTGCTCAATCCAGTTTTTGCAACACTAGGTTTAGTGATATGCCAGTATCTCTCAGTCACTAAACCAGTATATTTTGCGAGCAGGGCTGCTAAACGTCACACAAATATTTTCATTTGCCTTGCATGGATGGTCACTCCTATCATTGGATTTCTTGTCCATCTGATAAGTGACCCTTTGATTTTCATTGGACAGCACTCGCTGTGTTCAATGTATAACAACTCTCAGCAAGGGCATACAAGATACTATTTAGTCAAATCAGTCACATTTTCAACCATCTACGTAACAGTAGCCATTCTAGTTGGTTGGTTATATTACAACCTGTACTGGGCAGCCAAGCCATCTCTGGAATTAACCCTTGCTCACCAACCACACCATGAGAGGCAGCCAGAAAGATGTGTTCTGACCCAACACCAGCAACTTAAAAAGACCATCTCTTTCCTGGTGGGGACAATGTTGTTTTTTTGGTTGCCAGGGACTGCAGATCTCTACATGGTGTTATACATGCAGGACACTAATGAAGGGGAACCGTTGTGTAAAGCTTGTTATCAATTTCATCAAGCAGCAAACCTTCTCTTTTTAGCCAATGCATTGATAGATCCTTGGATATATGGGATTAGGCTACGGGATGTCCGGATGGGATATCAAAAACTTTTTTCCTGTTTCAGAAGAAGGAAATTGCGCACTCCGAATATGTTATTTGTCAATAATCATGAAGGGGAAATCCATTAGGTATCTGTACTATGTTCCTTGACTGGGGTTTCAAATTGATTGTTGTAATAAATAATCAGTATTTTCACATCCTACAAGTATTTAGTTGGATGCTTACAAGTAGTCTATATATATTGTTTTACTGAATTGAATATTGGTATATTATGCTTACTGATGATTATAGATTTTTTTTCAAATATAAACATACGTGTTTCTGCTTGATGTCACATGAACTAAGTGAGTTCAATTACTATGAATTTCATGTTAAAGCTAGATCTTGACAACCCTTTAAACTATGGCAGTTCACCTGATTTTTATCATTTTCTTTTGTTGTAAAAAAATTAAGTGTTTTATTGTCATTCTAAGTTTATATTTTCAAGTTGAATTATGGTCCAATAAAAGTCATTGGTTTTGTCACAATTAACAATGATTAGTCTCAATAGTTTTTATCTACAGTTCTAACATTTATATATTTAGTAATTTCCACCTGGCAATGCATGAAATATTCAAAACCATACATAAATCATTTATAAAATGAAATATTCTCTGATCCAAAATAATGTGTGATTAAAATATATGCGACATTAGCGGTCTCCTTAATGAATATCAGTAGTGCTATAAATTATGCCCACATCTGTTTGTTTATCCAACTTATCTTGAAATTACTTTGAAATGATATATTATGACTAAGTGTGGTAAGACCATACCGCCCAAACACGCACATAAAAATGTGATATATTCATTCATACAAGCACACAATGAAAAAGTTCAGATGGTTTTCTCTACATGTTCAAAAAGTTGTTGTTTACTATACATGTAGGCAGTTTTTGCCACAAAAAATTATGTGACCATATTAAAAAAATAATTTTTTTGGTCTTCATTGGAAAAATTAAAAAATCAGTCGGCTAAGATATGGCATGACACATTCATGACTAGGAAACAACAGAAACAATAGCCATTATGCAATTATAGTCTGAGCCCTCCAACAGAAATTAAGCATTATAGTGCAAACAATCATTTGTCTTATAGCTATGTTCATATATGTGTCATATGATGGAACCAATTAATATCACTGGTATCACTGGAAATAATAGACAACAGACATTATCACTTTATCAGTAGTGCGAAGTAGAGAAAATTGTTAAAATTCTACCTTTGTTTGCATATTTTCTCAAAATTAAAATCACAACTGGTCAAATTACAGACATTGTTTAAAATGATAAAGAACTTTAACTGGCTTTGACTGTGGCTAATTGTCTTGTTAAAATAGTGACTTATAACATTTCAATGGCATGAGGTTGCAATGTTAATTGAAATGAACTAATATACCTGTCTATATCCATTGATATAATAACCATATACCTGTCTTCTGATTGGTGTAATTGTTAATGAGGCTGTTGTTTGTGTCTGTCAGTCATAACCATGGCTCACACTAGGATTGAGTGGTTGACATTAACTGCCTTACTCAAACAAGCATGCACACACACACACACACAACTCCCCCTCATGTTTACTCTAGCATAGGAATCTTTTTAATAATAGCATTCTGAAGAAAATACCACGCAATAATACCTCCCCCCTCCAACAAATAACAATTTCCTTCTCGGGTTCAAGACTGTCAAGCTTTAATGATGCAAGTTTTCTAATAAATTCTGGCACCAGGAGATATAATATCATCACTAATCATATTTCAGGGTTTCTAATGTGAGATAACACAGCATGCTATGGCATGCCAAAGGCTCTCTTATGCAACAGTATTCAATTAGAATCTTATGAAATCTAACAGTTACAACACATACTACATAAGTGCCTCATTATTTGAGTCTATCATGTCCTTTGAATATCTGTCTTCTTTTATTTATTTTTCATCCAAATGAAAAGATAGCTGGGGTATCTAATTACTACAAATATTTCTCAAATTTTTTCTCCCCTTTCTTTTACAGACACCACACATCTTTTCATTATTTCTGTAGTTGTCTGTATTATTTCATTTCAGTTTTTTATCCAACAGGAAAGATTGTAGGGTATCTCATTACCAGATACATTTCTATAATGTTTTTTTCTGCTTTTTTCAACAAATATCACACAGCATGAATCCAGCAACGTATCTATCCTTTTGCCAATTTATCAATCACATCTTAGTTTTTATCAAAACATAAAGATATCACTCAACATCTCCTTTATCCCTCCCTTATTTTCAAGAAAGCTGTGATAAAATGTAAAATGTTTCTGTAATAGTAAGATCTTATAAGTATGGCAGATTAGACAGCAATGAAATAGTAATATATAGTGTTTCCAATGTATGAAGAATTTTACGGAAAGATATTTTTCATATAAAATCATTAAAAGTTAACAATCAGTCCAACTGCCAGTTAACAAAAGCATGAGAAAGCTCTATATTATTTAATTTGCAGTCTGTGTACTCAGGGGACATGGCCCACAAGGAGAGGAAAAAAGCATGCCTTCCTGTCCCCCACTGCCCAAGGAAACATTAAAAGACTCGCTATTTTTGTCACTCCTCTGTGCCGACAATGCAATATTGCAACAGTAATAGGTTTGTCTGTGATTTACTTTGTAATAACACATTCTTTTTTTTTAAGTGAAAGCATTATTTTATACATTAACAATATGTGGTATATTCCAACAATCTCCATAAGAACAATATGCACATTCTTAACAAGAAGTAAACTTCACTCTCAAGAACTTTTTTTTTTGACACTTATACAATCCAATGCCAAATTACTTTGTAAACTTAACAGCCAATCAAGCTTTATGATCCTCTCTTTTAACTGTCTGTCAACATCCTGGAAACTACATGATAGGAATTTCCAATTAAAACCTCTCTGGAAATGCGTGATTGTGTGGACAAGAAAGATGAACCAGAGTTAATCTAACTACCTACCACTAACAAAGAAAGCCAATAAATCATCTTGCAAGCTTTCCCCTGGGTACTGATGGGTCTAGTTTCAAGGACTTCAGGGACCCTGTTATCTTCATCTTTTCTTAAAATAAAGTAGTTATGAAATTTCTTCAATAACGTCCGTAAAAATCACACAAATGAATCAAACAAAATCAATGGATATAAACTTTTCCATTGCCTTTTAATACATTTTAGATTGGTAATAAGAACAGAGCTCTATTCCCCAGTTTCTTGTGTAATACAGACACATAGCGTGTATCTGATTGTGTGGATGTGTGTACTATGTGTGTACATGCAGAATCATAGTTTTGTGCAGAACCAAGAACCAATAACCAAGAGACATTCAACTAAAGCTATCACCTCGCATTCTGTTTATCATCATCTTATCCTGCCTAAGGCATATGCAATCAAATATGGTGGCATCAAACTAGAGCATGGATCATAACAAATTGTGTAGTTATGAATATAACATACTGGTAAGGGTTATATACAAATTCTAAAATGTGATACCTGTTCTAGTCTAGAAATTGGATGGTTTACCCCTGGGTCAACCATAATGAACAGACAACATATTTCTACCATCTACATTCAAAACTGTCTCTTTTTTATTAGAAGTGCACTCTCTTCTTTTTGTAAAAGAACATCTCATATTCACCACAAAACACTTGGACAATATAAAAGGTTTTGCATGAGTCTTTTAACTCTGCTCACTCCCCAGATGCTTTATTTTCAGAAAACATCTAGTTAAATGACCATGAGCCACTCTCATAATGGAGATGGGGACTGGTGAAATATTTTATTGTTTTTCACACAGTGTATTCCTTGGTGATTGAGATCAAGTAGTTGAAATAAGCAGAGAAATTATTTTTTATTACATTATGGTCTAATGCTCACTGAAGTAATAAAATAGCATTAAAAGGATACCAACGGATGGTCAGTGTGTTTCTTGATATTCCTTTTTTACTCCCATATGCAGAATATATATACAAAGACAGATTAAGTTGTAGGAAAAAATTGAAATGGCACCTCAAACAGTAATACTGTGATAGACCAAAAAACAATGTAAAGCAAGCATGAGAGAAAACATGAGTACAAGAAACAAAGATGTTATGATGAAAAAGTACAACNCTGCCTAAGGCATATGCAATCAAATGTGGTGGCATCAAACTAGAGAATGGATCATAACAAATTGTGTTGTTATGAATATAACATACTGGTAAGGGTTATATACAAATTCTCCAATGTGATACCTGTTCTAGTCTAGAAATTGGATGGTTTACCCCTGGGTCAACCATAATGAACAGACAACACATTTCTACCATCTACATTCAAAACTGTCTCTTTTTTATTAGAAGTGCACTCTCTTCTTTTTGTAAAAGAACATCTCATATTCACCACAAAATACTTGGGGAATATAAAAGGTTTTGCATGAGTCTTTTAACTCTGCTCACTCCCCAGATGCTTTATTTTCAGAAAACATCTAGTTAAATGACCATGAGCCACTCTCATAATGGAGATGGGGACTGGTGAAATATCTTATTGTTTTTCACACAGTGTATTCCTTGGTGATTGAGATCAAGTAGTTGAAATAAGCAGGGAAATTATTTTTTTATTACATTATGGTCTAATGCTCACTGAAGTAATAAAATAGCATTAAAAGGATACCAACGGATGGTCAGTGTGTTTCTTGATATTCCTTTTTTACTCCCATATGCAGAATATATATACAAAGACAGATTAAGTTGTAGGAAAAAATTGAAATGGCACCTCAAACAGTAATACTGTGATAGACAAAAAACAATGTAAAGCAAGCATGAGAGAAAACATGAGTACAAGAAACAAAGATGTTATGATGAACAAGGCAGCAAAGCTGTCAAATGTACAGACAAAAAACAGGAAATANAAACAAAGATGTTATGATGAAAAAGTACAACAAGGTGAGGTTTTTATTTTCATGATGTTGAAAATAAATCTTGCTTTAAGTCTTTAATGCTGATAACGCTTGCAATAGCACATACAATATGTCTAGTTGCCATTATACTTCACATACATATATTTGGTGTTCTACTAATGGGTAACTTTATTCATGTGCCTGTTTGCAACATCTGATTGCTAATGATATTCCAACAATAAGTTAATATATTGTGAAAAGGTAGCATAAGAGTTCTATGGAATTATGCAATGTACAAAGAAAACTGAAATTGTTAAATTTGAGGGAAAGATTCTGGTTTCATTCTAAGCTAACTGATCTGTCAATTAAATGTAAGCACATTAAACAAAAAGAAAAAAATACATGATGCTGATGGGTAGCTTAACCCCACTGATGTCTTTACAAATGTGTAATTTTACAATTTCCCTGAATCGGTTTAAGGTTTTTCCAAGAAATGATTTACAAGACTCCTTCTATAAATGACAATTCAATAATTCCCCCTCCCCCAATTATTCTTTTTTGTTGGACATAAAGAGGAAAATCAAAAACATTAATCAACAATAATTCTTTGATAAGTCATATCTTAATAAGAAGTATCTTAACCAGTGGGCAGATTCACACATGATCATTAATTAAGGAGAAAGTTTCAGTCCAAGAACACGCCTCTGTACATAATTTAATTATCCGGCTTAGAATTATCCCTACTAATCTTGCTTTTAATTTCTTACAATAATCTGTAACTGTAACATGTCCAGGTTTGACAAAGCATGAACAAGACATTTAGTCTTATCCAAACCTTTGTTAAGCTATTGGTAAACAGTTCTTTTACCAAATTATTTCCAAATTTAGCCTTGTCAAAGTAAATGTCTTTTATCAATTCATGGGGTCTTTTGGGCACATCTCCTCTTACCACCTTCATCGCTTACGACCTTATTACAACTATCACAGTGGTCTCCACACCTTTGTCACTTGACCAAGTTCATCACCTCCTGACATTAATTCTCCCTCACTCTTCCAACTCCTTTCTGTTTCTTTCCTTGCTGGGGCATTTACCTACAGGGCCCTATGTACATTTCATACTGTATATGCGTGCAAATTTTTTTTTTTTTTTTTACCACGTGTTATGCTTGAAATTTTTCTTGCTAAGCCATCTTCCTCTGTCTTTGCAATTTCCCTTTCTCTATTTTCTTATTAACTTATTAGCGCAATTCATGTTGTACTGTACACATGCCTATATCAAAATATCTTATTTAGCTTCTCATAATGAATCTTTTAAACTGCCAGCCTGCCTATACTTTGCTCTCTTTTTCATCTCCGGTAAGTACACACTGGCCAGAGAAGTAAAATGAAAATTTCACCAGTACAAAAATCAATAAAAAAATACTGAAACAAGTAACAAGAGCTCAGGTTGCGCCTCTGTAACCCACCTTGTGTGATGGTTGTTACACATAACCGTCAGCAGGATAGTAATTGTGCTAAGCATCAAAGATACTAATTAAAACAGATACCACCAGAAACGGCCATGAATCTCAATAAAATCCATCTAATATTAGGATTTTCATTTCATGTTGGACATTTCAGAAAATATACCAGCAGACAATAATGTGGGATGTAGCAGCTTGTATATTCAACTACCATGGATCCCATTGATTTTCTCTTGAGGCAAGAAAAATGGTCTTTTTATCCTGGTATTGGGGTTCATTAATTTTGATAGGAAAATAGAAAGTATATAAATTTAATCTCCATTTTTTCTAAAAAGCCTTCTTCAGACCAGGAAAAAATCACTAAGCAAATTGCTATGGTGTCAGTATGTTATCAGATCTGCCTATGAAATACAATATCTTCTCAGTTTAAATCAATCTTGGTCTGAACAGATCTTCTGAGTATTTTAAAAGTTAAAGTTTATCATAACATTAGGATTATTGTATAATTTTTAATCCATTCCTGGTTTTAAAATTGTAGAAAGGTTTTGAAAGTGGAAGAAATTTGACTTCCCATGACATTATTTTAGTAGTATTTTCTTGAAAAAATTTTGAAAAGTATGGAAGAATTTTGTTAATCAAAATGTTAAATTTGACTTAAAGCTAATTTCCTTTGGTTGATGAGATGCTTCCTTGTAGTTTTGAATCTTTGAGATTGATGATATATGAAATAAATCAATCTGAAATCTGGTGGTTGTTTCAATAAATGTCTAAAGTATATTTTCAAATTTTCTCAATCTTTCATCATAAGAGAGGTGACAAGAGAAAACCATCATAAAAAAGAAGAAAAGCAAAAAGAAAAGGTTCACTGTCATAAATGTTCCTCTCAAACATGCAAAACTAGACACTTAGAGACAAAAAGTTGTCAATTGTGAGAAAATGCAAAAAAAGTAATTTCTTTCACTGTTAATAATAACTGGATAAATGCTTAAACCCCAGAACAGAAGGCTCCATAAAACATGTCTTTCTGATTATGATACATATCCATTTACAACAATATACTGCATCTGATACCAATGAATACATTGTTACCAATTCTTCACAAATTCAAATCTAAGCAGATAATTGATTAAATTCTGTCAGCATTCATGCTTAAACTACTCATATTAACAAGCAGGAAATCCAAAAGACAGCCTCAATACATCACAGAACAAATATACCTACAAGGTTTTCTTGTGTGAATAGCACAAAACTCGTTCACATAGAAAATTATGTAATGTGAATGACATCTGGAAATATGTTCGTGTTTTTCAGAATGATGTAGGATCCAAATAGAAAAAAAAGTTGCTAAATAATAAAAAAGTTCTGTGGAAGCATTTTGGGAAATTAAGTCTTAGTGAAAGAATGTTGGTTCTTGTATACTGCACCCTGCATGCATCTTAGTATAGCTTACATAAGTTGGCAATATGCCTGAAGTTTTTTTGGACCTGATTTAGACTGAATGCAGATGATCCCATCTCCCTGGGGAAACCACAGGCCAGCTGCCTTATGAAGGGCTAAAAGCTAGCAAACCAACTATATTTTTCACTGCCAGAGCAGGAATCTGGGTAACTTGCTTATTGAAAATAACTTTCAAAATTAATGTGGACCTTCAGATGTCTCTTATACCCTATAACAAAGCATGATTCTTCACCCCAGGAAGTGCTCACTTGATTACAATCACCCCTATGTATCCTAGTAATTCCCGAGTTAATCAATCAACACAATCAGAGAGGAATTACTTTTGGTTCAACTCAACTTTGTACTTTATGAAATTAGATTTAAAATATGCTGGTTAAAACCATCCCTAATGAAGCCTTTTCTGCACGATATAAAATGACAAGTAAGGCAGCAAAGATTTGAGCTGAATCAGAAATAATCTTGTCTGAAAGAGAGGATGTTCATTTGTGTATCTCTATTTTAGGTGAAAATCAAAAGATACTGCTCTGGGAGCAAATGAAGCCACAGGAAGAAGAGACAACATTTACAGAAATGAAGCAAACATTCCAATTAAACAGACAAGCTGGGAAGCAGCTTGATGCCCTGGAAAAATTAATAACTTAACACCTTGTTCACAGCGAGATGTACATGAAAATGTCACACTCCTGTAGTGTCTGCCAGTCAAATGAGTTTTTTTGATCTAGTTATTTATGAATTGGCACCTGACTCTCAAAACATTCTTTGACTTCTCATTAGAAACAAACCCTCTAATGAGCTTAACAGTACATTTCTTCTATAGGATGCTATAATTAATACTGGAAAGGGAAAGCTTACGATCTTATATTGGTTGGGCTACATGTAGACTAAACGTCTTGAAAGGTCTTCTTTAGTCTGACAAAAACCTCCAAGTAAATACCACCATTTTTTTAAAATTACCACATAAAAGATATGATGATGTAAGTCACAGACACTCTACATATATACACTTGTGACTGATAATGTATCCATGTAAAACTTGATACTAACTGAATTAAAACACTTTCATAAATAAATGAATATGTAATAAATAAAGATGGGATGGATTTTAATCTCTGAACAAAAATGGACAGTCAGTATGTCCTTTCCCGAGATTATTTTTTCAGAGTGAACTTTTAAGGAAGTCATCTTACATCAATACAAGTAACGATGGAAAAGACAAAAATCTTGGGGGAAGAACCTAAGTTCCTGGTCACTTACAATAAACTTTTCTGAATTCCTCAGATATATATTTTTTACAGTCTGATAACATAGAAAAATATAAACAATAAAGAAAAAGGTCATAAGGGGGATTAATTAAGGGTTTCCTCGAATGGACAATGCCCATTTATGTGCTCACTTCATACGTTATAATCAATAAAAAACCCCATGAAGTGTGAAACAGTCCCCTTGGTGCTCATTAAAACCAAATATGCTCCATTACTGAAAGGAAACTTAAAACTAATGAGAGAGCATTTACCCTAGATTATCAATTTATTGAACTGAGGCATAAAGGTAAGTATTTAGTGTTTTTTTCTGGCTTTTACATTCTTTTACAGAATGAGCTTTAATTCCAGTAATCTATTCATATTATTAACTGTGTATGATCATTAGACAACACACAACTTTAAGACCAACTTTGTTTGACAAGTGCTTTTTTAACTGACTAGATCAATCTTTATCTGCTTTATCAAAAAGAATTTTTAGGTAAACTTAAAAGTCTGATCATTTTAAAATCTACAGTGAATGTGCAAAATCTAGGCTTTTTGTTTGGGGGGGGGGGGGGAATGTTTTTGCTGCTTTGTTTTTTTTTTTTTTTTTTTTTGAATGTCTTTATAACAAGATATTAGGTACTCTAACATAAAAAAGGTATCTGTAAAAATTTTCTTAAGACTTGGAGGAAATGTCCATTTTATCATCCCTTTTCACCAATACAAATCCACAAAGATATTTTATACCATATACATGTTCCACTTTCAGATACAATAATTCATTTTCCATGTGTTTGATTTGTGTTACACTTATACTTGTTTGTCTGAGCCTCTTTCTATCTCTGTGCCATATCAGTTTCTCTATAATTCACACTTATTGGTGTAGGTTTCTGCTGAACTATAAATGTCTCAATGCTTGCAGCCAAAACATCTAATCAAGCTTTTTATTCAAATTATTGTAAACTTCTCACTATTCATCTGGAAGTACACACTGGCTTGGGGGGTAATAAAAAGAACAAATGACTCATTGATTGGATCAGTGTATTTCCACTAACCTCTACATCTTCTGGTATTTGGTCATCCAGGATGGAGATGTTGAGATACGCAGTCTTCTGACCCTCAACAAAAGTGACTGTACCACTGGACGGAGTGAAATCATCAGTAGTTGCTAAAACAACAGATTTTATCCAATTAAAAATAAAATTTAAATAAAAAATGAATGTTTGATTAATGCCATTCTTAAGACATCATGCTACACTGATAAATGACACATACACTGATAGAGGCATCTTTTATTCAAGCATACAGGGGGCTTTTTAGTGCAATAATCAAACATTAAGATTAACAGCATCATGAAAAAACATGTTATATCTTGGTCAGCATGATAGTAGAAATTATCTTGCACACGCAAACATACATAGGCAAATGCACGCATGCCTGCACACAGAAATACACATGCACAAATATAAAGAAGAAAACCAAAGGATGTTTGCTTGAATGTGGTCTTTGCAGGAGATAATTTGGCTTTTGTAAAAGTCCTATTTTCAAAGCACCATTGCATTTGTCAGGCACTTGACTGATTTGATAAACTTGGAGGTCTCAAATTAGTTGCTAAGGTTTCTAGGGATCCCCAATGGTTCAGAGTTATTCCTGATTTAATTTACCAGAGAACAGGGTTCTGTTCAGTTGTTAATAAGGAAATGGATAAATTTCCCGAAGTAATTGTTTAAGCTGGCAAAAATTAGTTTAAAATGTCAACTCTTGTAAGTTCATAGATTTCCCAGTTTTCCATCTCTGGCCGTTATCACCATTTTAAGCTTTCTATCCAAACAACTGATCAAAGTTACATTCATTTTGAACCAATGCAGATTTATCAAAGGAATGAACATTAATCAAAAGGTTCTCAAACTGCAGCATGCCAGGATGCCTGTTCAATGCTCTTTGACTAGTGCAAAGTAATTTTTTACATTGAATCCTCTTTCTTTCGAACCAGTCAAACTACTTATAATCTATCATTCTTACCCAACAAGGCATAACACAGACAGTGAACCATGAGAATTTCTTTCTTTCATTTAGCAATGAAGCAGTCTCTTGAATTGACAACTAACATAATTAGGTCTAGAGAAGAAAATTGATTTGTACGGATTCAGACATGTGTACAAAGTGAGATAAGACGGACTGCATACCTGGTCTTATGCAAGTTTTTTTCCCTCTGAATAGCAATCATTTCATTACAGTCAATTCAAAGAAAATCAATCCAATTTTTAATTTCACTTTCTTGGGTCATTCTAAAAGCTGGCTAGCTAATGGAAAATAAATGAGATATCAGTGAGGGACTGCATGCTTTTCTATCATGTTATCTTACCTGTCCTCGGTACAGCCTGCCATGTGACAGACACAGTGCCAAAGAAACCCACACTTCTACTGAGGGGAAGACTTAGTATATTGCTCTTGCCAGGCTCTTCATATGTATCAAGTCTCCCTTCAATATTCTGTAATAAAAAAATTATATCAATAGCTGATTTGTTTAGTTATTTATTTTGCACATTACTATCAAATGAAATACTATTTTACTCATTATCCTTAGTATTTGTATGGAATTTGCTACCTTTTAGTATTTGTACTAAAACTGGTTCAAACAACACATTTTAAACAACTGTCAATAACAGTTGTTATTTCATGCACAGTACATTTGATGTACTTAATTTTTCAATAATTAATGCCAAATTATCTTCATTCAATCTTTTATATTTTCACAAGGTCCAAATGAAATAAAGTGCCATTACAAGGAGTCATCCACAATCTTACATACTGCACATTTTTCTATTTTTATGACCACTGCATTTACAAATAGCAGACTTTAATCATAAAATGTTTTTGCCTATATCATAACCCAGGATAACAAAAAAACCTACATAACTGACACCCGTAAAATGCATGTTCTTTGTCACCATTTCTCTTCTCCCAAGAATAATTAAAGTCTAATGACTATTCTATGTGGATAACCAATGAATGTGAATGTGTATTGATGAAATAGATAAATTGAGTGCCTTACACTGCCCATCAAGTCTTTACGTAACAATTTTAATCAAAATTAAAACAGTCCTTTCTTTCAGAAGTACCTTGGTCACATTAAACTGGACAAATCCCCGAGCGTTGTCATTTTCTGCAATGGTAACAGTGACAATGTTCCCTGGTCTCTTGATACTGGGCTGGGCACCAATGGGCAGGTTACTCTGTCCTATCAGCTGGACACCTGTGATGTTGACAAGGAAGGTCTCGGCTGGCTCTGGGTCATCATCCTGAGATATGGTAAATAAAGAATAGAAATGTGAATGGTAGGGGCGGATTCAGAAGATCACCAGCAAGATGAAGTTTTCATTTGAATGAAATCTAATTTCTTAAAGTAAATGAGCCAATCAATTCTTTCTCTTGCTCTCTCTTTTCTTTGTCCTTGCTTGATAGGCACATACCACAGGCAGAAAATGCTATAATTTCAAAAACGATTTGAAATAAGACCATATTACTTACAGGCTTAATGGTGATCTGTACTTCAGCACTGGTCTCCCCTGCCTGCATGGTAACAGACCCCTGTTTTGACTGGTAGTCCCTGCCTGACACTGCCTGCTGGCTACTTGGGAGTGAGATGTCACGCTCAGTGCTAAAACACAATGTGAAAAAATGGTATGTTATACTGAGTTTGTAATATTGTGTTGTTTGTGAAATCACTAAATTGGCTGTTAATCAAAATGTAATTTTGAAGTATTAAAGTTATTGCCCATAAACTTTTCACACCAAACAAGAGGAAAATAATCCATAGGACAAGCTTAGTCACTTTCAGGTCTGGTCTATTATTGTGCTTCTGTCACTTTTGCCTCAAATATAAGAACTGAAAAGTCACATAAAATT